CATCAGGAAACAATAGTGTATCCTCAGAACTCTCTCAGTATAGTTTAACGCCCATCAGGAAACGGTGGTGTATCTCAGAACTCTCTCAGTATAATTCAACGCCCATCAGGAAACAATAGTGTATCCTCAGAACTCTCTCAGTATAGTTTAACGCCCATCAGGAAACAATGGTGTATCTCAGAACTCTCTCAGTATAATTCAACGCCCATCAGGAAACAATGGTGTATCCTCAGAACTCTCTCATTATGGTTCAACGCCCATTAGGAAACTGTGATGTATCCTCAGAACTATTTCAATTCAGTTCAATGCTTATTAGTTAAAACTTACTTCAATATAAGTCCTGATCTACTAGTGAAGAAAATAACTGATTCTTGACCAGTGTTTGAATAATACGATGTTTGTATTTAAATAAAAGAAAATGGTTTTTGACACAATGACATGAAATACGAAGATTGAACAGTTACTTCAGTAGACCAGTTTCGGTAAAATTGTGCCAAAATTCACCGTTTTTCATCTCTTTTACTTATTTATATACTACAGCACAGAGCCTAAAAAAATATTACACAACGTTTCTTCTGCACCCTCTTCGTTACGTCCCATGTAGTGTTGAGGAACATTAATTAAGTTAAGAACCAAATATTTTAGTGTACATGCGAAATATTGTTTTATTAAATTAGCTTTTAAGTGAAAATCTAGTAATATTTATAAAGATATAAAATTAAGTAACAATAGGCTTATTTATTTACTTTTTACTAAAGTTACAATTCATTTTTAAATTACCAATGTTGTTAAATATTATTGTGTCGAGACGAAGTTAAAAAAGTTACGTTTTTGGCAGACGCCACACTTAGTTTTACTTAACAGTAACAGTTTCATGTACTAGCCCTGAGGAAGCCACAAAGTTAAGTTTTTCTAGCTTTAGTTATTTGTTTCTTTGAAGTTTGTAGCCAAATAATATGGTGATTGAAATATTTGAAAATATAGTGTTCATAAATTGGAATATAACAGCAAAACAAACAGGTTAGTTATTCACCAATTAAATAAGCATTTATTGTCAACAACAATTCGAGAAACAGCCGTTCATTCATTAATTAAAGTCATCTCTCTGACATTTACTTTTCAACAATGAAACAATTCACACAGAACACAGACCAAACTGCAGTTTACAATAATGTCATTTTAGCTATACATATTAGGATCAAAATCCAACAAGGAAGGCCAAAGAGCTACACATAACAATGCTATGAATATTCCGTCAATAGGCACAACAATGTCACAATGTCAATAAACTAGGCACTACAATATTGAACGATGACTTAAGAATGCTAAACGACTTATTGATCAGAATTAAGTTACATTAACAATAAATAATATCCGATTATCTTTGGCTAAACTATTGTTTGAAGCACCATATCAGTCTTAAAACCGAAACGTCGCTTGCCTAGTGAACTATGCCATGTTTTATTGTTAACATACTTTAAATTGGTCATTAGTTTATTTTCTTTGAATTTCAATTAATTGAAAGACACTAACTACCTTCACACACACTTATAGCTTAAAAAAATACTCCACATTTACGCAAAATCACGTAAGCAACTAAAAAGTAGGCTTAGCAAGAGTTAAGCCTACTTCGCAGCATTTTAATATGGTGTAACAGTGTAATAGCTCAACTCTTCAGAAATCCTGCAAAAAATTTGAACACTAACAACAATAAAATAAACAGGCTTCAATCAACAACGGCCTGCTTCCGTTTGGAAAATGGACAGATATTCAAGCATGCTGGCACTCTGTGGAAGACTATGTGTTGGAAAAAATTCCAATATCCAAGACTCAAGCTCCACGTTTAACCTGTCTAAAAAATCTTAACGCATCAGCAGTTATACATTGTTTATTACCAAATTAAGCTATCGGCGTTATTCGATTTTATGGCGAACAAAATTAGAGATTTGTTTTGATAGTGGTGCTAAAAGAATTTTTAGTGTAATGTAGTGTATTGCAGTATTTTAGAATAAAGGGTTAAATTTTGTGTTTATTAGTACAGTTTCAACTCGCATATGCCGACACAGAGCAATGAACATTTTTCTTCGAGTTACATAAGAAACTTTATACTAAAATGTGCTACAATGTAATAATCAAACTTTCACAGAAACCTATTTTTATTTGATCTATGTCGATTGAAGAGAAGTTTGGGAAACACGAAGAAATTTGACCCTCTACATACGTACGTACCTGTAAGTTGTCTTTCGAAAATTATTTATAAAATGTACAATAAAACGATGAATAAAAATCACACAGAAATGTCAATATATATATATGTATATACGGTTCTTCATAAAATTGCTACAAAATAAAATAAAATAAATAAGGATTCAAATGTTTCATGTTCTGAGATCTATGATGAGACAAATGTTATTATTAATTGAGCACAACTAAATTTTTATTAAATAAAATGCAAACTGGAATGTTGTGGCATTTTCGAAGGTTACACTCTATAGATACTCATAAAATACCGTTATCTGCTTTTCATCTTTTGAATTGTAAAAGTTGACAATGTAAAGTAAAATTATTTACTGGTCAAAATAAAAAACTCCTATTAAAGAAACATTAGAAGCACCAGCCTATTAACTTAAATTGTTAGAAATACCTTTGTTTTGTATCATTATAAGAAGTTTGATTAACTCTCCTCTCCTGGAAAGTAATGAATACTTGTTGATCCTCTAGAGACGATACAAAATAAGAATTGAAAATTATCAGTCACGGTAAAATGAACGAGTGAGTCTCAGTAACTCGAATAATTGAGTCTGGTTCCACAAACATTTGAGTCTAATACATGAACAACTGAGTCTTGGTGACTCGTATAATTGAGTCTGGTACATGAAAGTTCGAGTCTAATGTATGAACAACTGAGTCTCTATGACTTTAATAAGTGAGCCAGTTACCATGAACCTTTGAGACTAGTATATGAACAACTTAGTTTTGGTGACTCGAATGACTGAGTCTGATACATGAACATTTGAGTTCAGTGCATGAATAACCGAGTCTTGATGACTTGAATAATTGAGTCTCATACATGAACATTTAAGTACATGAGCAACTGCGTTTCGTTGATTCGAACAGTTGATTTCCAGATGATGATAAACACAATGTGAACTTTTTATTCGTGGAAACGTACAACAGACTCGAAGAGTAGATGAAAATGTGTATGATGTACCTATAGTCATGACACACAGACACCAATCTCCAGGAGTACCTGGAGATTGTATACGATGGACATTATGTGGACATGTGGTCATGAGAACACAGACACCAGTCTCAAGGAGTAGCTGTAACTGCATATGGTGGACATTATGTGGACATGAGAACACAGACACCAGTCTCAAGGAGTAGCTGTAACTGCATATGGTGGACATTATGTGGACATGAGAACACAGACACCAGTCTCCAGGAGTAGCTGTAACTGCATATGGTGGACATTATGTGGTCATGAGAACACAGACACCAGTCTCAAGGAGTAGCTGTAACTGCATATGGTGGACATTATGTGGACATGAGAACACAGACACCAGTCTCAAGGAGTAGCTGTAACTGCATATGGTGGACATTATGTGGACA